AGATGTTCTCTCGTGACCGGAGGAATCTATGCGCTATTTATCTTATACAGAGATTTATGTCTCCAGCCTCACCATTAATTTTAATCAATTAAAAGCTGTTATTAAGGTTTATTGGCATTTAAAATTTATAACTATTGAATGAGAAGGCTTTTTGAAGAAAGTGATTTGTATAAAAATATACATTAATTAAACCTATAGCGGGTGTTATAATATTTTGAGTGTTCTATAATGAATCTCTTCCTTTACCCGTTGTTCGTGTATTACAAAGTGTAGGCAGCTGTAATCCCATTAACTGTTTAAAGCCTACTTAAATCTGTTAGTTTATATCCACGGCAGCTGTATTAGCACTTCCCACGTTATCAAACTCTGGATCCGATTCGTGTTTAGGTTTTGTAATCGCCGGGGTCATCTAGATCATGCAACAAAGACATCGTTAACGCTACCGTTAACACCGCATACAACCAGTTGGTAATGCGGCCTTCATAACAACTGTGTCACACGATGAAGTGTGATTGTTGATTGTTGAACCTACAAAAAACATATATGATCTAAACACGAATAAATTTTAAATAAATGAGACCTAATTATTGTTTATTTGATGTAGATAGAGTTATCAAATTGGAACGTAAGTATTAAAATTACTAAGTTGAATGTAAGGAACTAATATGTAGATATGAACATATACATATTAAATAAATACAATAAACTTGAGATAGCTGTTGTATCTACGGTTCTTTGATCTGCCGACACGTCTAGCGTTTACATTGACACTTAAATAAAAATATATACAAATTGCTTTATTATGACAAACACTATTCAAAATACTCATTCCCATGTGATGTAATACATATTTAAAAGTTAAATAATCTTTCTTTTATATATAGGTTTCAGATTTCCGTGTTCAGAATTTAATGTGAATTATCAATAATAATTATTATCCACGTCTAAGGAGATATCACAGCAATTACGTAGTTCTTGGTTTTCAATTACTAAGCCAATACACCTTTCCAATAACACCAAGCCATTATCTGGTCCGCTACTCAAGAGTAATGGTTAAGCTTTTGTATTAATTCAATATCATGATGGTACAATTAAGTACGGCGTACCGATGCTAGCGTACTCGAAAGTTCCTTGTACCCAATTAAATATAGAATTTTCTTATACGTGACTTCATACGGCTTCAAAGACGAATCTTCAACAGCCATTTATAATAATGTTGCAATTATAATAAATTTTGCTCAATACGTTTATTGTATTATATTGATAGTGCTTGGTTCTGCATGAAATCAGTCTTGTTTATAACAGACGTTTCAAAACTATGAGGGCGGTTTGGGCGTTTTGGATTATTATGTTACAATTCATGAATAAGACAAGCGATTACTTCCTTTGAAATTTCATCATTAATTTAATATATATTTAAACTATTACATCTGACTGTGTTGACACAAATACATAACGCGAAAGGAGATCTTACGCTTTCGCGGGTAATTTATTTTATATACTCCCAAAGTTCCGATTGATGAGAAATCGGGAGCATGTAATTTTTACAATAATAATATACGTACAATATAATCAGAAAAATATTAGTTGAATTTACACAAAACGGCATTATTCTAATGTTGGTACGGTAGCCAAAAGATTTAACTTATAAGTATTCAAGTCAGGGGTAATTAACCACGGGATCCCGCCAGAGTTGGACCACCCCTGGATAAACGTGGGTCGCGTATATGTGAATAATATTAAATGAGTCTTGAAAACTAATATATTTGAGAGCTCACACACTAAGAATATATGACTTATGCGTCATATACCCACAGTAATAACATAAAAATCGTGACTTAAACATACCTTTAACAAATTGAACATTCGTTTCCCATTAAACAAATCGATTACTAAGAAACGAAGACAAAAGGGTTCGTTTATTATTGTACTAAGAATACTATACTCCAACCCCTGACACGCTCGTTTTTAATCTCATTAAAATTTTCTGTTTTACTATCTGGGATCGCTTTCATCTTTACCGAGAGGATATAAAACGAATCTACATTTATAATACTCAAACTGATAACAATTTTTAATTGGTAAAGTTTTTAATTTAAATGACTATATTTTTTCCTTAAAAAAGTTGGATTATCCTAGATAATTCAGAGTTACAATATTCCAGTAGTGAAATAAACTTGAATCCCTTTCCAAGGAGAGGAAATTAGAAAATCTCCGCCGACAATTACAATTGCACATACCTCGCGTGTGGATATACAATCTGTAGGAAAATTGCTTCTGAAGGCTATCATCACAAAGGAGCGAGTGGCGTGGGGCAAGCCACGCGACCATAACCTCTTCAACCAAAATATGCCTTATCACAACGAAATAAGACACATAATATATTACACTCGTATTACATAATTCTCAGCGCATGCGTTCGTTTTGGAGGGAAAAAGCATAACAGTATCACCACAGTGACGTAGAACAATGCATTCGTTTTGAGTATTTGCTGTTGTCGACAATTATCGTTGTGCTGTGTGAATTATACGCTGTTATCGACAAGTAAATTGCTGGTTACACGCATTTACAGTCGGTAAACACGACTCGGTGCAAAAGATACGATAAACAGGCCCTTTGTTTGAAGTGTTTATTGAACTGATCTAGAGGTCCGCACTATACGTTTAATATGTATCTCTGATTACGCAATGTCACATAAACATCTTTATTTTTATAAAATTATAATTTAATCCAATATCTTATACATAATATGTAGTATGCTACTCTTACGTTTGTGTCTTGTGTTTGGTTTACAATGTATATGACATTTTAATTCTTTTCTTTACGAATTCTTTTACATATTATTGGTTGGGTGTTAAGCGAATTAGGTGCTTACTGCTATGTATGTAAATTATACAAAAATACGCATTTACTATTAATATAAGACGAAATGATTAAACCAAGTTTTATCTGATAGACTATTGCTCTAATTTCACTATTTTAATACGTTGTATACACACCATATATTTATATTATTTCTGAAATGTTATTAAAGAGATAATTAACTTGTAGTAAGTTGATCTATTAAAATATAAAACTTTATTTTGTCTATCCATTATAAATAATAATAAACACATTTATTTAAACTATCCTTATTAATGAACAGATATATTGGCGTCTAAATTAATTTATTTTTATATACCTAAAATGTCCCGGACGTTGTAGAGTAACACTTAATTGATTGCACGTCTATCCGACCCGGTCGTAGAAGTCTAAACCAAAAACCGGATACATTCTGACCGGTTATAAGATTTGTTCTTTGATACCTGGGAATTCGGTGATGTCTGACGAAATTATATCCGTATTTATATGTATATACAAGATTTATTATATTATCAATTAATAATAATTATCTTTCGTACAAAGTGTGGTGATAGTTGATGAATGTTTTACCAATGTTATTGTTGTCACTTCATTATTTATATAACTGTACGTTACGATAACAATCTGAACGGTAAAGATGAGTTGTTTTTTTTCATTTGCTCATATAATAAAATGTCATGCTGTTAAATATATTTAACTTGTATGGTGTTTCATTTAATGAAATATATTGCATTGTATTTTTATAAAAATCTTAAATATTTTTAAAACTATAGTGATGTCGTTTGTTATATCGATAAACCTATGTATGGAAAAATATTTAATTAAGCTTAAGGTAAATAGAAAATATAATTCTCGTTGAAATTTATGAAATCTATGTATTTTTAAATTTTATTTCTGCCCTGTACTCTGACTATTAAAATTAATTAAGAATAGTATTTATATCTTTCATTTTATGTAATTTTGTTCGTACATGCCTCTATCTATTGTGCCGAACCATTCACTGTTATTTACTTTGATTATACCGACTTTCTAAGATGTATTAAGTATGGTGCAAATACTTAGTAAATTACTGAGAATAAGTACAAATGTGTTAGTTGGTTAAAAGATATATTCATTCCAGTTAAACAACCAACGGCTTAATTATACTTTCTAATGTTGATTATATCGAATACAAATATATTTTATATTTAGCTCTTAAAAATAAATATTTTTCATATAAAGGTATAAGTCGTAATGCGTTAGTTAAGACTTTTTTTATAGTGAAAGTTTTTATACAAGAATATAAAACGACATCTGGTAATAACAACTTAACCGTCATAAAAGATTTAATTGCTGTTGTTCGTGAATGCAATTTGCATTAATATTTAATATAAACAGATGGTTCACCTGGAGTCGAACAATGAGTTTCATAACCGCCAGTCAATGACTGGGGATTGGGAATATAAAGCTTGCTGTAAAAGGAGCATACGAATATATTACAAACGTAGACGCCGCGACGCTGCGCCGGTGCGGGTTTTATGTAAACCAGCAATGTACCTTACCTGACTACCGAGTTCCTCTTTGTAAACATAGATGGCGCTAATTATAATATTGACAAGCTGTAATTTATAACTGACTGACCACACTATACGAACACACATTCATATATTGTGTATATTTAGATAGATATATTGTACTAATGATGCGTAATTAAAAGATATTTTAACATTATATTGTTTTAAATGAGTCAATGTATTAAATTGAATAATATATGACTAAACAAAGTAAATAGCATTTCCGTGACATACTGCCATTATCAATAAACCGCAGATAATCTGAAATTGATTCGAGGGTTCGTTAAATGAATACATTGTTGATTCGCGTACTTACTTAGATATTTTAGCGATTATTGGTGATCTTAAAGATTAAAAAGGCGTTAAATATGTTTTCAAAATATACTATTGCAGTCATATTATTTGCTAAATGATGTTCTTTAGAGTCGAATAGAAGGAAATTCATCATTGGTGTCATGTGATTTGTTTTTTATCTCAATCAGCATAATATTTCTAAAATGAATTATTTCATTTTTATAACTTTACAAATGTTGTATGACAAACTTTATCAAAATTAGTAGACATATTTTATTGTTTATAATGTAGAAGATCAATAAAGTCTCTTTATTCAGATTGGCGCGCCCCGATGACGGATGAGTCGGAGTCTGGTCGGAGAGGGCGAACTCACCCTCGTCTGATACGACCCTCGGAGCACCTCGCCATGGTGGAACAGGCCAGGGAGCAGGCCCGGGGACTCTCTAGGGACCAGGGCAGGGAGAGGCGGCAGTCCGAAGGCCGGGATCGAAGACCGGTGCATCTGGTTCCCTCGGTGACAGTCGTTCAAGGACCTCGGCCTCCGCCCCCGCCTGGCCCAAGGCCCTACATGCCAGCCCCAGTGAGAATGCCGGCGCCGATCAAGTCAGTTCCACCTCCCGTTACGAGGATACCGCAGCCGAGGAGAGATGTTCAGGTGAGACATTATTAATAACATTTCAAGTCATAAGTGTCAAGAGTAACATTAGTCAATGGACTAACAAAAACTTAGAACTGTTATTGCGAGGATGTTGAAGGATTAACGGTGAAACGGGCGTGACCAGTTCGAGAGCGGGCTATCGTTCAGTGGTCACAATCCACAGTTTTTATAAACCAACCACATTGTTCACCGCTCCGACCGTTCTCGGGAACAAAGTGGATCACGTAACGTGGTAGCGACTCCAATTTGTTACGGACTCAATAATAAATCGATAGAATTTGTTATGTTTTTAAAAAAAACGCCTCTTAATACGTAGACAGTTTCGAAAGTTTTCTGAATTTATGATCGTTTGAAATATGTATATACATTCGTCGAGACGTAATTTATTTAGCGTTTTATTTGGATCGAATTCAATTAATTCTAGCAGTTTCTCAGTTAACATGTTTTTTCTTTATAACATTGAATAATTTATCAAAGCGAAAGTGTTGATGAATTAAAAACAATCCGAGTCGTGCCCACCGCTGTAACGTGTTAGAGGGGACGCGTGGGCGACACTTTCCTTGGCAGAGATCAAATATGCTAATGATTTATCAGAACGATGATACGACGTTATTCATGCATCAATATGAGAGAGATAGCGATCGGAGTCAGGCAACAATGGTATTGTGAATATGTTGAGGCGCCACGGAACATACATGTTAGTTTATTAGTTTCATATTACAAGCTTGTTTTAAATGGAACCGCTAGCTACGCGTTCCGGGTGATATAATTACTTGTTCCATGTCTATTTTAAATGATTAAACAATTCTATATTCATTTGTCTATCAAATCCGTTCCCTGCTTCAGGGTTAATACTAATATTTTAAATTTAAAAACTGCAAAGATGTTACAGACCGTTGTTCTCATTACGTTAATAATGTGAAAAAGCTTTCTCCGTTTTATAAACGTAATAAATCCAGCAACGTGTAGGAGATTAAATCCTTGGATATGCATATCTTCATTAAAGTAATAAAGTTGTCGGTTGCCGGTTGCCGGTTGTCTGTTGACCCAGTTTAAGTTCCCCAAAGGCACTAACGATGAGAGCCGACGGGGCGGGCACGGGCACGTCCTTGGCCTAAAACTTTGCACTGCTCTAACATACTTTCACATAAACTTAGAACTTAATATGCGCCAGACGACACGGGCCATACATACATATAAAACATATCTTTATTAAGTTACTTAAGACGTCCCAGGATGCAGATGTAAACGTTCTAAAGCAAAATATATTACAATTTATACGGCGGGCCAGGGTCGCGACCTTTCGGATTAAGCTGTCAGATATCCAAACGACTAAAGGGCAGATCAGCGGGTTTTCTCCTAATGCGATCCATTGCAAGTCGGTCAAATGTCGCGTTGGTAGCCAGATAACTATCACAGATCGGACGGCTTAGATGGAGCCAAATACTCCGCGCTTCTAATGATCGATCGTTAGAAATACTTTTGATTGAAAGCTTATTTATTCATTTAAAACATTCTATTTATTTATTGGGTTATTGAAAAAGAAATACAATCAAAAATATAATTTCAATATTATATAAAAATGATATGGCTGTCGAAGCTCAGAGCTCCGCGGCTAAATCGCTATGACAGAAGTAAATAAAGCATGAAAATCTTAGTCTAAATTTCATTAAAGCTGTTATAAACGTCCAGCTAATTCATGTTCAATCTTACGGTTCATTAGTGAATGATTCGCTCGGGTTCCGTTATGTTATCGTAATATTAAATTTACAACTCGTCCTACATTCGTAAAGGTCCCTAATGATCTCACTTCTGCGTTTGATAGACCGTTCGATTGCTTCGCTAACAGTTCAGTACCGACCGCCAATAGCCTGTTTATTGAAAGAGATCGTCTATCTAGCTTTTATTACTCTGCAATTGTTTGCTAGATTGTAAATGGTATGAGACGGTGACTGTAACGGTAGTTCCTGCAGTAGTGTTGTCTAGTGACGATAATTAATTCAAAAACTATACGTTATAATCAAAGATTATTATATGAAATTATTTCGTAAAGCGCCTGTAAACTGCTAGTTTTATTTCAAGATTCTGCATTACTATGGAAGTATGAAGAAAAGAATGTCTCGTAACCACGATCCATCAACGGATATATTAGTCCGCCAGTGTTTTAAATTGTCGTAATATAAATTCAATGGTACTTAATGTTTTGTATGAACAAGTCGACCGCCCGCCGCCCGCCACCTCTCCTACGTGTGGGCGATCGATGCATTTATAAAATAACAATAAATATTTGTATTGGTAAATAAATAGTTGTTGGATTTGTTTGTACTTTCTCTTTTATTTGTTATAAATTATCTGTTACTGCGTGATTTTACGACGTCCATGTTCTTTGTAACGTACACTCTGTATGAAATATTTTATTGCGTACGTTTTTTAAGTACTCAGATAAAAATTTAAAAATTTCTTCTCATATTCTTAACACTGATATGTTGGAGAATTTTCGGCTAATTAGTTTTTATATGCTATAATATATATTATTATATAGTTCGTTTATCTTTTTAACGCTTCTCTTTAGGTTATTGTTTATTTTTGATCTGAATAATGTTTTTTTTTTTACTTTTAACGTCCGTACGAGTCTGAAGCGTTATAAACAAAATAGTGGTCCCGTCTCGGAAACCTGATATGAAGTAATAATATTGAGTATTATTGGCTGCATTGGAGCACCACGTAAAAAGTTGACTGTGGAATATCGGTTTTCAAGAGCTTTTTACTCTTTCAAGTATTTAGTGCCTTGCTAGTTAAGTGCACTCTATAATACTGTATTCTTTATAATAGTCTATTGTATTATATTTTTAGCGTTACTTTACTAATTTTAACTTCTAGGAGGCTGTTATGATAATGGAGTAACAATCAAAAAAATTGCTTTGACTTATCAGATTTCTAGTAAAATATTTTCGTGTACAAAATAAAGTCACATAATTATCTTAAGTGTCATTGGTTTGTTAACACGTCGTCGTGGTCACTAGTTCGTTGTTTATATCAAACGATACCGACTTGCGGTTAGTTTCCTCGTAAATGTCAAAGATGACTTCGTTTTATTTGAACCACTTGTGATGTATGACAATGAACGCGTGGCTTAATTGGTTATTAAACAATAATAATTACTATGAAAATATATGTAAAAAGAAGCATTTAATTCTAAAGTCCTAAAATATGGTTAGACTTTGGTAGATGAGACATTGTGTCCATTATATTTGGGACGATTATGTAAATGCTGTCTTAAGGCCGTGCCATATAAGATGAACAATGATATGGGTCATTTTTAAACACGATGGCATTAAATTGTAATGTAAATTTCGTATGCGCATTAACATAATTCAGTAGCTTTGTTAGTTGAAGCCAGGAAATGCTATTTAACTGTCATATTGAAAATTAACATAACACGCGTTAACTGTCTCGGAACATAATGCATTTTTTTTTATTATGTAGGCCGCTTTCATTTTATTTCATTACTTTGTAATAAGCTTGTGGAACAAAGGTAAATTAATTGCAAACGTTCTTATAGGTGTGGTGTAAAATATACTAATATATGGTATTATTATTTGACCCTAAGAAGGCTTTTACTATTATTCTTCAAAGCCTTAAAAGGTAACCGCCTTTATTAGAAACGGAAAAGTGAAATCCTAATTGAAAACCTTCGAATTAGAAATTTGCATGGAAACGTGTGAATATCTCCGTAAGAGTCGCTAAATAAATCAACTCCTATGATTACGTACGTCATTAAGTGAATTGTGTACAAGCACCTTTATAGACGTTTTCCAATTAAGATATTATAATTGCTTTATGATTCTACAGTTTAGAAAAATCAATTATTGCTTCTTAAGTTACTTTTTTAATGTATATTCATATACAGGGTGACTGGTGAATTACTATCGATATTTGAGGACGTGATATTTGACGATCATATATGACAAAATAAAAATTAATATAACATAAATATTAATAAACTTCTAAGTAAAGTTAACCAAAAGTTATGTAATTAATTACGCATCGTGTGAACACCCTACAGATTAGGTATACACTGACACTCACACATACGCGTGTCGTGACGTAGTGTTGTATCAGCACGCCGCCGCACGCGTCCACACTTGAACACTTGGAACGTGTCAACACTTTATTTATTTATACGGAAATTTTGTCAAAAATTAAGTACCTATTTTTTTTACATAATTCGAATGAGAATCATGTACCGAGTATGCTCCTTAAATATTGATAGTAATTCACCAGTCACCCTGTATAAGTCAGTGTGGTGGCCTAGTGGTAAAGTACCAATGTGATTTTTCCGAATCATATGTACTTACTTTCTAAGAGTATTTAGACATCACTGATTAATGCATTCCCAAAGAGGGTTGATGTCAGGCAGGTCGCTGGTCGTAAAAACAATAAGCCAAAACTATTCACAACATGTAAGGCAGATCCTGGTTAAAGCTGGGAAATTGCCAATAGAAGAAGAAAAAGTTATAGATATATTCATTGAGATTTTAGTATTTATTTTCGCTTGTGTAGTATTATTTCAGATTCGTTTAATATTAGTTCAGTTAGATCTAATCGTGTGACACATGCCACGCTTGTAGCTATATGTTACCGTGACGGCGGGTACACAACACCCACGCAATGATCCGAAGAGCATCGCGAATTGTAAATCGATACGAGTAACGAGGCGTCTCAAGAAATGTGCTACGAAAGTTAAAGATAGGTGCTTGTTATATAATTTATTAGCTTTCCGCCCGCAGCTTCGCCCGTGTGGAGTTCGGTTATATCGCGTTTCTAAGAGAACCTTTCAAAAGTCTGCGATAAAAACTATGTTCTGATAATCCTATGTTCTTACTCAAGGTCAACTCCATTTCTGTGCCAAATTTCATTAAAATCAGTTCAGTGGTTTAGGCGTGAAAGCCTAACTGACAGACAGAGTTACTTTAGCATTTATAATATTACTAGGG